TGCTCCGTTAGGCTTCATGAAATGCAGCCGGAAACTGCTTGCCGAAAACCCTACAAGGGTCAAGCCGCCCTGGATGGTGAAAAAAGGAGAGGCGCTTCACCAATTACAAGGAAACTGCTATTTCCTTATTGATCCGAAGAAAACTCTCCTGAACAGCAGCAGGCACGACAGCCATTTTGGTCAGTCACAAGCTGGGACAACCAGGACACTAAGATCTTGTGCTGGAACAGGGTGTGGACAGAGCAATGAAACTGGTTGAGATAACTTCCAACTTTACCTTAGAGATTTAACCCAAATAAAAAATTCCAAAAAATAATCTCCAAATGTTAAGAAAGCAGAGATTGGATTTAAGGAGAAAGATTAAAGATTAAAGACTCAGGTGTAAAAGAAATATCTAAAGGATGTTTTAAAACACAGAAAGCCTGGAAAAGTCAAACAACATTGTGACAAGTAATTACTGACAGATATTTGATTTTCTAAACTCTATCTTTAACCCCTGTCAGCTGTTTTGACTTTTACACTCTGTTGAAAGCTGGAATTGGGAGCAGGGGAGCCATCTACCTAAGGAAAAAGATTACTGCAATGTGGGAAACTTAAATGAAAGTGATGTAAGGAGAGAAAGTAAACAACACCTGACCTTGACTTTATCTTAGTAGATGATTTGGATGCTTGGAAATATTTAGTGAGCTTTTTGAAGTTCTATAAGGTAAATTGAACTGTAAACACTAAAACTTTATTGAAACTGTGCACTGAAAAGTGGATTTGAAAGATTTGAGGAAATCTGGTGGGCCAAGTTGGATTTCGGTTATTAACATCACTTGACAGATCATCCTACGAAGCAAAAGAAGAAAAATGATAGAAGGAAAAAAAGAAAAAGAAGAAAAGACAAATAAGGCTTTAAAATTTGGACAATTGGGAAGGTGTAAACTGGAAATTATAAAGACTGTGAAGCATAAATTTATAGCTTTTAAGGGCTAGAAATTTAGGAGACTTGGATGAATAATTTTGGGATTGATCAAATTTTATTAATAATTGACTTTTTGGAGTTTTTAGATATTGGGATACTGTAATATTATACATATATTGAGTAATTTGTAATATATTAATTTGGTACAAAATGACAATAAAATTCTAGGAAGAAATGTTAGTAATGGTTAAAAGTATTTATGAAAATGTGACAAAGAGTCATAATGAGATTATGGGAATATTTAAAGATAAAGATGTGAAAGTAGAAGACCCATAACAAATGGTGGGAACAGATGAACATGATACACAGAAGAAAGATGAGAAATTAGAAGGAGTGGTGGAGCTAAAGCAAAATAAGTTACAAGAAGACAAAAATAAGTTACAGGCAGACAAAAACATTGAAAAAACAGCAACAATACTAAGAATCAAATAGATAATCCCTTAAGAGTTTACAATAGAACAGAGAAAAAAAGGAAGATTTCAAAAAAATAATCAAAGGGGTTATGGATGGGTGTCCAAAAGATGCAGCAGAAGGAGATAAGGGGTAAGGCAGAGGGAACACTCAGTCTATTCAAAAATGTTAGAAAGACATATAGGAACCCAAGAGAGAAATATAAAAGAATCACCAAAAAGTCAATAAGTAATAAAATTCTAAAAAGGCTGAGAGAAGATGGATAGAGACATAATATCTTGCAATATAGTGACTATTAAAAAAACCAATAGAAATATGTGGAAAGTATAAATTGGGAAAGTAGTAGCACATATATAGATATATAATAGAATTTATTATAACCATAAATATACTAAGATTAGGAGGTGGAAGACTATGATTAGGTATATCTAAATGTATTATGATTAACAGTGTGCAAAAAATATACTGAGTTTTATAGTTTACAAGGATTATAAATTCAGGGGATTTAGAGATATAATCCAGAGATTGACTAAATCTTATTAATAATTTGTTTTATTGGTATTTATAGAAAATTGAGATATTGAAAATGTGGTGGAACCAAAATCAGCAACATACAAGGAAAGTAGTTATAAAATGTTCTATAGATGGCACCTTCCCCCTTTGAGATTGGCAAAGATGTACCCCAACATGAGTCCGAAATGCTGGAAGTGCAAAAAAAAGGATGGAACATACTACCATATGTGGTAGTCTTGTATAGAATCCCCAAAATATTGGCTGAGAATTAAAAAATGGTTGGAGGAAATTACGAATGAACAAATTGAACTAAAACCAAAATTGTTCTTATTAGGGATATTTAGGGAAAAGTATGCAAAAAAAGTTAAATACATAATATTACATATATTGATGGCAGCCAAACTGTTGGAAACAGCCCTATACTTCACCAGAGGAATTTATAACTCAAAAGATGCGTTGTGCAGAAATGGATAAATTAACCCTAGCCCTAAAGATAAAGAATCATCAGAGTATTACCGTATTTACCAGACTGTAAGACGCTACTTTTTTCCCATGCTTTGAACCCTGCGGCTTGTACAACAATGCGGCTTATCTATAGATTTTTCTTTGCTAATTGCCATCAGGGGGCACAAAAAACGTGACAGATGCAAGAGGTCAATGCAAAGAAGACAACGCTACCAATAGTTTTTGGCGCACTCGACAGAAGCAGCATGACACGCACGAACGCAAAATATTTTTCACACCCTTCATCATGGAAAGTACATGAAGAAAAGCATATGATGCAGCTTTTAAGTTAAAAGCAATCGATCTGTCTATCCAGGAAGGAGCTGCTGCACGTAAGCTTGGCGTTAATGAATCAATGGTGAGACGTTGCAGACGTCTGGCTGCATGCGAAGAGCATTCTTCTCTTTCTGTGTAAATATCTCATTTCACAACGTATATATTTGTGGCTTATAGTCTGGTGAGGCTAATATATGTAAAAATATTGTTTTCTTTTAAAATTTAGTGGGTGAGGCTTATATTCCGATGCGCTCTATAGTCTGGTAAATACGGTATATGAATTGGGATTGTTGGTATCAATGGATTGAGTGAAGACAGACTATATAATAAACGGTAAAGGAAGATAAGTAGTAGCTGTAGTAAATACATATTCGCATTAGATATCAATTGTAAATATTGCACAAAATAACGTTACAAACAGGAAACCACAAACTGTCGATGCTGAAACTTTTTAACCTTTTTTTGTGTGTGTTGTTTGTTTTGTTTTAATTGTAAAATCAATAAAGTTTATTTAAAAAAAAGAAAATGTAGTGGAATATAGAGTGATATTTAAAATATTAAAACATTAGTGACTTAACAGGGCTCAACAAGTATATTGTATGAAGAAATATTATTGATGTTTACATACATTTTTGGAGAAAGTGGTAAAAAGAGAAAATAGTATTGTTTAAAGACAAAGAGATAAACATACAAAAAACCCAACAAATAGAAAAAAATAAATAAGTACAAATTGGGAAAATAGTATAATATATATTGATACATAAAATAATATATTATAATTATTAGCATATTAAGGTTAGAAATTGGAAGACAAAAAGTATGTATATGTAATTGTATTATTACTGTTAGCATTGTGTAAAAAATATATTGACCCAGTCATTACACTGTCTACAAAAATGTTGGTTGTTAAAGGAAAACTACAAATAAAACATATACAAAAAAGAAGTGAAAAAATGGATCCAGACCAGTCAGTCACTAAATGAGTGGATCAGCAAAATACTGTGGACATCGTATACTTGTCCTTCAGTAAGGCACTTGACAAAATAGACTACAACCTAATTCTTGGTAAGATAGAAATGTGTAAGATAGACACATCACTACCAGATGGATTTAGAAGTGGCTGAGAAATCTCACTCTCAACATGTAATCCACAATGGAACTACATCTACATGTACAGAAATATGCAGTGTGGTACCCCAGATTCTGTTTTAGGCCTATTATTCTTCAACATCTTCATGAAGAATTTAGATGAGGGGATAAAACAGGAACTAATCAAATTTGCAGACAACACCAAGTTGGGAAGAATAGATAATACTTTAGAAGACAGGCTCAAGATCCAGAAGGATCTTGACAGGTTTGAACATTGGGCCCTATCTCACAAAATGAAATTCAATGGTGAGAAAAACAAGGTTTTATACTTAGGCAAGAAAAACTAAGTGCATAGGTATAGAATAGATGGTACCTGTATCAACAGCAATAACTCTAGAGAGATCTAGAACTAGCGGGCGACCACTTAAATATGAGCCAGCAATGTGCTGAAGTCACCCAAAAAGCCAAAGTAGTTCTAGGTTTCATTAACAGAAAGATATTATCATGGTCACAAGAAGTGTGCTTGTGTGCTTTGGTAAGACCAGTGTGTCCAGTTCTGGTCACCATGATGTAAAAAAATGTTGAGAATCTAGAATGATTGCAATGAGGAGCAACAAAAATGATGAGGGGGCGGGGTGCTAAAACATTTGAAGAACAGTTCCAGGTATGTCTAGTCTAAGGAAAAGAACTAGGGGTGATATGATAGCAGTGTTCCAATATTTGAGGGGTTGCCACAGAGAAGAGGGGGGTGTCACCTATTCTCCAAAGTACCTGAAGACAAGAAACAATGGATGGAAACTAACTATTCAAGAAGACCAACCTAGAACTAATGAGAAATTTCCTGATAGTGAGAAGAATTAACCAATGGAAAAGCTTGCCTCCAGAACTTATGGGTGCTACATCAATTGAGATTTTTAATAAGAGATTGGACAGCCATTGGTCTGAAATCGTATAGGGTCTCCTACCTGAGCAGGGGATGGACTAGAAGATCTGCAAGGTCCCTTTTCAACTCTGTTATTTTATTATTTTCAATTTAATTGGCCTATTTTTGTTAAAAGTTTATAAGAAACTAAGGAAGAAACAAGAATTGGTGCGAGTTGAAAATATTTTGATTCATCATTAAGAGCACATGATAGTTTCAAATATTTTGAAAAGTATTCCAAACAAAATACCTGTATGGTGACCAAGAAAAAAAGGTGTTGCTTACAATCTTAAAACACATACACATGCCAAACATTACCTTGACAAGCTTTCTCCACATGGATGAGTTCATCAGGAAAATTCAGGATATCTGGATATTGCAGTTCACATGTTTCTGCCAAAAAATGAAGTAAGGTCATCTTCTGATCAGTTGACTTTGTGTCACGAAGCTAGAAGATATGAACAAGACTACTGGTGAACAATGCACAAGGTGTTTATTATTATTATTATTATTTTCCTCCCCAGGCTTTTTTCCTCACATTTACCTTGCAAATGAAACTAATGTTGAATCCAAAGGCACCAGCATTCATGGAGCCAGAATTCATGTAGTTGCCCACAAGGAGGATAATGGAGAGAAGACTACCAAAGTTCTCACTATTGCGAAGTTCCTCACAGGCTGCTGTAACAGCAACAATATCTGGCTTTATGCTTTCTACCTGTTCATTAAACTGTAGCTTGAAGAGTATAGCATTGAGTCTTGATAGCAGATGGGAAACCGAACTAATCTGTGAAGAAAAGGAGACACAGTCACACAAAGTGAAATAAGAATGAGAATATCAGGGAAGGAACAAAGGAGATCTGAGCAAGAGAAGACCCACAAAAGTATAGTTGAATTCATTGTCAAAGATTAATTCACTGACTACAATGTAGTAATGTAAGCAACATGAAATTGAAAGACATGTCTTTATGACATGTATATAGTGTGATTCCCAAGAAAAATTAGATGGCTTAAAGGAATTTGCAAATCCTGGAGGTACAAAAATTCAGAGATAGAAAAACTGCTAGATAGCAGCAAAACTTAGGGAAAAAAATCATTTTTTAACCATCTAGTCACTGTCCTGATTTTGCCACTGAGATTTTTTTTTGTAAAGTTTTTGTTATTTTTAAAACATAGATCAATATCATTTCGTGGACAATGTGGTGTCTGAGTGTCATTCATTTTGATACAAAAGCAATATTAATAAAATAAGCATTACTAATTTAATCTGACTTACCTGGTCTAATGTTGTTATACATAATCCTTCATTTTTCAATTGTTTAATATTTGCTACATCCTTCAAGTAGTTATAGCATTATTTTTGAGCATACCTAATAACATCCTTTTTCAAACTTTGCTCTTAACCTCTAATATTCACTTTAAATGTGTTAAATAAAAATATGTATGACAGCATTCTCCCTATTTCTAAACTTTTTATCTATTCTAATTTTTAATACGGCCAATCTTATTTTTAAAAAAATCCTTCCTATCCACCATCTCTCACTCTTTTAGAAGTTTCACTTCTTTTTTTTCTGGCTTGCCTCCCATACTCCTCCCTTGGGTCCTTGTCTACATCTTTCATATTCAACCCGACCTTTATTTCCCTCCCCAATATTTTTTGCTGCCAGTCCACCCATAAGTCTGCCAAGTCCTCTGTTCTTTTTTTCCAAAAATATCTTTCAATTTATTCAATTCCATTTTTCTACCTCCTAGTGTATATTTCCTAACTTTATTCCCAACTGTATGATCTCCTCCTTCTTTTCTCCTTGTTCTATTTGTTGTATCGTCTGCTCTATCTCATCGTCTAAGCTTACAGTTCTCTCCCTTGCTTCCTGGGTTTAATTATCTTGCTTCATTACTCCTTGTTGCACATTTTCAGTCTTTCCAGTTATAGCATGTAATAAGTCCTTTATCTCCTTGGAATTCCCCATCATTGTATCATAAATGTTTTGAAGTAACATCATTATTTCTTTTTGTGTCTCCAGTTCTTCCTGATGAGCCATTTTGTCTTGTTTTTAAAAGTCCAGATAGTATTCAATATTTTGTCAGTAATTTGTCACCGCTCCAGAGTCTATTCTTTTTGACTTCCCAAAGCAAGATTACTTAAAACTTGATATTGTTCATCAGGAGATATAATATTTATAATTCTTTGTGTCTCATAATTAATCAATAGGTTCCATTTATTCAGTCCAGGGAAAATGCTTCTTTAAATCCACTTTTAGGTATCCTCCAGGTTTTCAAAGTTGATCCTCTAGTCACCATAAAGTAGATAAGTATAGAACAGCAGACCTCCAGGTGTTATTTTCCTCTTATCAGAATTGTCCAAGGTCACTTTACCATTCTAGGAGTGTAACATAACATATATCCATTCACCAGTAGATAGCACCTTCAGCTTAAAATCAATGTTAAAGGTCCACTTTCAAAAGTCAACATTAAAAATCCAGTTAAAAACTATTCTGCCAGTTGTTTCTTTCAAATTAATTCAAACAAAATGTCCAATAAAGTCAAATATCCAGCACTTTAAAGTGCTTGTTCAGAGTCCTGCCAGTAAGATTTGTACATCCAGTCTTTCCATATTCTGTAGCTTTTAGGGTGCAATTTTTCTCTGTTGCTCTTTGATCGCCACTTAAAAGTATTCCAAAGAGTCTCTTTCCTGGATTAATTTCTTTTGGGGAAATCCTTAACAAAAATTAAAAATCACCTCACCCAGCTCCAGTCACTGTCCACTCTTATTGCTCCATCACGGTCTTGGTTTCTTCAGCTGCCCCAGCTTCACAGCAGCCATGATGGCCACCTCTCCTTCATCTTCGGCAAAGAGGGAAGTAACCCTAGGTCCAGCAGGAGAGCCACTGCTCTCCGTGACCAGCAGGGTGCACCTCCTCATGAGTCACCCCTACAGGGTGACTTTAGCCCCTTGAGGGAGCCCTCTGATAAACAGAATTTGACGTGAGGATGCGGAGCCCCGCTCCCCTGCACGGATCAAGCAGCGACGTCAGACTGGAAGTCTTTGCCACTGAGATCTAAAAGGCCTGGTAAAACCTATATGTAAAAACAAATACATAGCTTTTTTCAGTTGTAATTACAGGAGAACAGAATGGGAAAGAATGGGAAGCATTCTGTTGTTTCCTCTCTCAAATCCACAGCAATAAAAGTCTAAGAATCTAATCTAGAAAATTTGCAGTACTTACTTAATGAATTTGATATAAAATAATATTTAATATTAGAATAGGATAAACATAGTATATGGATGATTGGGAAGACCTTGATTGAGTTCAACAATGATGGTAGTGCTCTCTTCTCAGATAAAACCTTGTTGTGTTTTATAGTGGCCTTTAAAGTATAGGAAAAGGGATAAGAGGAATTGAACAACTAGTAGATATATACAAAAATAATTTAATGGACATTAGGGAAATATTGTGGGACAGCTTCCATGACTGGAATCTAAGAGTGAGCATAGATGATAACCGCTATGAAAAATAAAAGACCTGCAAGTAGGCTGATCTTTCAAATCACTCCAGTAAAGGAAAGAATGGAAGATCATTCACAACTGCTCTGAATGGCAGCTCATGAGAAGATCATAAAACTTTCATGAAATTGAGCGTGAGGAGCTAAAAAAGATTACATCTTTGCTCTCTGCTCTCAAAGCCTTTCATAAGGATAGTAAACCCACTTTCTAATCACACTCAGAAATATTCATTTTTACCACGTTATTGATAGTAGAGATCTTCAAAATGGCAGGCTTAATTTGACATCTGAGGAGTTTCACCATTTTTGAATTTTAGAATTTTGAACGAGAATTTAAAGTTATACACAACTGGCAAAAAACAAATAAAATAAAATATTTTGATTTAAGAAAGTTTTAAATGGTTTCGGAGAGAGAACATATTTTTGCTGTAAGATTTGAAAACCAAATATATAATTAAACAATGTACTTATGGGAAACAACTGAAACGAAAAAGTGAGTCCTTGATTCACAGCAGTTCATTTACTGATCAAAGTTACAATAGCACTGAAAAAGGTGGCTTATGACCATTTTTCACATTTACAACCATTGCTGCATTCCCATAGTCAGGTGATCAAAATTTAGACAGTTGCAGTGTCCTGGAGTCATATGATCATCTTTTGCGATCTTCTGACAAGCAATCAATGGGGAAGCCAGATTCACTTAACAACTGTATCATTACTTAACTTCAGTGATTCACTTAAGAACTGTGGTAAAAAAAGATTGTAAAATGGGGCAAAATTCACTTAACAAATGTCTCACTTGGCAACAGAAATTTGGGGTTCAATTGGAGTCATAAATCAAGAACTACTTCAGTTGTAATTCCATAATTAGTAACTGAGGCTTGATGACAGTTGCAAATGGATACTAGAGGGAACTAAAGGACCAGGCAGAAATGAGTTGAAATGGTTAAGTCGGCTGTAGTTTTTTCTTATCTTAAAACTGAAATATTATTAATAGAAAGGATACAGATTTCAATAGACAAACCTTTAGAAGATGATGAGAAAAACAAAACACATTAAATTTGGATATTATAGTTTGAAGACACGGAAAACCAAAATGGAAGTACAAGAGAAATCAAAAAAGGATCTGAACATGGAACAGCTGCAACAAGAAATTCTGGATATTTCTTTATAGGATTTACAAGTTGGCTGGTGAAAGCTCTAAAGACTCCATTCAAATGCCAAAAAGTGATGAGAGATCAAATCCTGTGATTCCATAATAAATTTTTAAAGATCAAAACTGTGGATCAGGGATAATTTCTGGTAATACCTAATGGACCTTTTGCTATGAACTAGGATTGAAAAGATGATTTCTGGATTGTGTATATCCATAAAAATTAGGCTCTAAGGAGAAGAGTTTTGTTATTTGTAACTTTAAAAAAGGGTGAAAATATATTAACTTATGCTTGGTATGATAAAGGCTGGATGCCACTTCTTCCTTATTACCTATGTTGCCTTTTTCTTTTTTCTTTTTTTTCTGCACCTTCTGGATTTTTTTTCTAGTTTAGTTTCTATTATTTGTTCTCTGTTTATTAAAAACTTCAGTAAAATTATTAACAAAAAATGAACATAGGAGCTGAACAATGTTCACACAAATACTTCTGTTTCTATTTGGAAACTGCTTCTGTACTTTGTGCTTGAGGATGAACAAAAATGAAACTTTCATTTTGGGTTTTATTGATTAGATAGATCTGTTGTTATAGAGATGGCTAGTTTATTCTACTATGAAAAGTAAAAAGTTGAGGTTTTATGTTACTTCTTATTCTACTGTACCAAAGGGAGTTGGAAGTCAATACGTTTTTCTTTTTCTCTTCTCTACATTTTTCTCTTTCCTTTTCCCTCCCCTATTTTTCCTATTATTTATTCTTGTATTTTTGTATTTTATATTATAAACTAATAAAAATAATTGACATGGTTAAAAGGGGAAAAAAGAATTGAACAATGCACATAAATAATACAAAAGGAAGAGAATTTGCACTATAGCATTAGAAATATCTTCTGCTGATTCAGAATCCTAAAATAAACTCAGCAAGATTATTGAGGAAATCAGGGTTAAAATAAGAGACATAAATAAAAGAAACACTATTATTGGTATCTAATAGTGCCATCCAAAAGAGATGATGATGCTTCCAGAAATGTGTCGCATATTGGTTCTTCTAGGAAATTCCTGACTTATCTTGCTGATAATTTGCTTCTTCAAAGAGTGAAGCAACATACAAGTGATCAGCTATTCTTAAATCAATG